TCCCAGAGTGCTAACATAGGAAATGGCCTCTGTTGGATTTAAGGTCCACTATAGTGAACATATTTGCATCCCAACCCTGAAAGAGCAAATTTTCACGTCAAGCGATTAGCTCTCCCTTTTTTCAGAGCCATCCTTAGTCTTTAGAAGGGAGCGGTTTCAAAACCCGAGGAGAGGGCGGGTACCAGAGAAGACTGCTAGTCCCCCCTTCGGTCGCCGACTTCTGTGGAAGCTGTTTCAGCTGGACGACTAGAGAGCGGTGTTTGATGTAAAAAACTCATCTTATTCGGTAGCAGTGTATTTAACCAGTTAGCTACAGTAATTATAGTTCTTTTGTGGAATATTCGTCTCACATTTAGGACTGGAAAAATCACAACGACACAACGCTAATCGGAATATGGGCTTTTCAGTAAGAGAAGGAGGTGGCCAGATCTTCGATGGATCGTGTGTGGAATATGTGAGACCACAAATGCCTTAGAACGCAATTTAGGCGGGAGAGCGCCTGCAAGAGCAGGAAAATTACAGCGTTGGAGGAATTGGATTAGAGCTGCTCGTGAACTTTACATGCTAAAGCGTTGCCACGTTGAATGAATTGGGTCCTAGTGCGAATGCCGCGAGCGTCACAGGCTTGTTTGGCCACTGTAGCTGGATGTGCTGTACTAGATATCAATGATAAGTACAGAATCATGTCCATTGAACATTTCTAGGTGTCCGGTTCATCCAACTCCTGCTACGGTTTAGGAGGGGCCCGTAAATGAAGAACTGCTTGAAAAATTATTTTTGCATTCCTTTCGAACTTACCGTTGCATCAGTACTGCGCATGAGGTCTCCCTTTCGGCCGAATTTCTTTACAAACCTGAAAAGATAAGGGATCAAAAAAGCTACTTATAGGTCCAATAGGTATAGTGTACATGCCGAAAATATGTTTGACAGAATTGCTCCTTTATGAAGTCAGACGAAAGGAGAAAGGAGTACAGTAACTGATCGTAGATGAAGGGAGTGCAGGATTTTTCAGAAACGAATTGGAGGCACTCCGCATCCCAGGACTCGAGAGGGCGGGGCCACGTACAGCATTCGAAGGTGGTGATGGTTGGCATGTGAATGAGATGTCGCCATTTAAGAATCGTTGCAATCATGCTTTTATCCTGCGCAATGCAGGATGACAGTTATGTCAAATGGTAGCATTCCAAGGAACAGTCATCTAACGCCATGTTTAGGTGGAATGCAGAGCTGTGCCCTCTCCATCTCTGGGACCTGAAGCGTAGATTTTTCGATTATTTAGTCGGTCCCTTCTGATTGTAATTCTGAATAGTACCGCGAACACAGAGGCTCTAGAAATTCCGCGCTCGGATAGCCCTCGAAAACGCCAGGCTTTTAATTTGGATGAGTCTACGCTCGATGAGAGGAAACATACGCCTAGTCGCGCGATCATGGCATGGTTGTGCTCTCTCCTTCATCTATTGCTCTCCTCTTCTCGTCGTTTCGTTTCTCTTTGTGCCCTCCGTGGCTCCAATTGAGGTATATTGGTCAGTTTCGCTTGCTCTTTATCTTCACTGAAGTGCGATACACATACAAAACCATGTGCTACCCGTAATACCCACATACTGCTAACTCAAAAGTGTGCCCTTGAAAGCTACTGCTGCGCACTTACCTCAGAGGGACGGTCCCTACTATGTGTGAGGTGATTCGGTCCTCAGCTACAGTAGCGTGCCACCTTCTTCGCCCCGGAAACTGGACTGGATACAGGTGGATGGTGTCTCTATACTCCGCCCGCGCTTTTGTACGGCCACAGAAACGCCTAACCACAGTCAAAAGCGCTACCTGTTTACGCTCTTTTACTTTTGGCTATTCTCTATCGCTATGCGTGTTTTGCTTCGGGAACAGGAGAATAGCTCGCGCGGAATTCGGAATTTGGAAACAGCATGCGGGGATAACTGTCCTTCAGAGCGCTGTTCGGCGACGGAGGGACATTTAGCACTTCAGCAGCTTTAGCAGTTCCGGTTTCCAAGTCTCACTCTGGTGTATCCTGTGAACTCTTGCGTGCTGGAGAAAGCCAGCCGCCATAATGAAACCTTCCAACTCTCGTAAGGCTCTGTGGATGGCTCGACAATGGCCTCGGCACGTGACGGGAAGTGGCCAAAAAAAAAGCCGAATGCAACCCTCCCCTCCGTTGCCGAAACGTCGCCCTTCCTTTTGAGCCCCGTACCCGCACTTTGGAGACTTTGTTGCGGAGAACGTGATATTATGGAGTTCGGACCAGACTCCGCACATGGCAAGGACCTTTTCCGAAGGTTAGTTACGTAGGTGGATTTATCAGCCCTATTCACTTTTACGCTTTTGGAGGGCCGAATCGTATAACAAGTAATAACTCTTTGTAGATATAGGCAACCCTTTTTTGGACGAAGGTGAGGTTTTAAGGATTAGTGCAATTCGTGCAATTCCGTAAAAAAGAAGTATCCGTTAGTTAGTAAAAGACCAAACCTTTTGCGCTCTTTATTGGTAGTAGAACGTCGCTGCAATTCGGTTAAGATTTTTAGACGAGCCATTGCCTCTTTCAGCATCAACTTTTGTTCTTGGTAGTCTTCTTGAAGTATGGATGTAGATTATAAGTGGTCGCTATGTACACAGAGAATCCATGCCTGAGGACAAGAAAGGGCGTTCCCGAACATGCGGATGCCAGCGCTGCAAAAATTGCCAGGGTCCACGAGAGAACCAGAAACGTTTAGTTCATATCGCGGTCAGTCGAGGCGGTGTTATGAGGGCCGTAATGGGACCCCAAGTAACATCCGCGAACGTGCTCCTTACACCAAGAATGATCCGTCAGTGACCGATTAAGAAGGAAAACAATCACTGATGTAAACGCCGAGGGTGGGCTAATTCCGCCTCTTGGCACCAATCTGAGCGATTGCCTCGATCAACTGTAGAGCGAGAGTTGGCACGGCAATGCGCGGCTGTCGGAACGCCCCTTCTTACCCTTTTATAAGCTGATAGTAAGCTGTCGGTTGAGAAATAGATGAAAAACAAAAAACTAGGTGTACCTCTTTCTGAAAGAATGCTCGAGAAAGTTTTCCTAGTCGTCGAGGTGTACAGAAGCACCACTGAAGCGGCTTTGTTCACGTCATAGCAGTTCTCCTGGATATCATTCATTCCCATTTCGCATCGGTCAGTTCTGAGAAGACTCTCGGAGTGCCACACCCAACATATTTTAGCGACAGCGGGTATGATTGCTTGAGGCGGGCAGTCGTTGGCGAAAGGGTTGCAGGTGGACGTTCGGCTAAACTGCCTCAACGCTTTGTGGTCAAACTGCCAGCGCCCACACAATGACGTTGGCGACAACAGCCTGCCTCAGCCAATGTGCTTAGTCTCTTTGAATTTCATTAGGTTCCCTCAGGATTTTGCCCACTTTTTGGAACTTTCTTTTCTCAACTTTCAATTTTTCTGAGGAACATTTAGTGATTATTGTGATCACCATTAGGATGAATGATAAAGTTATCAGACAAATGACTGGACTGCTTTGTCACAGAATGAGTGATTCTGGCCAACGTAGACTTTGAAAAAAAATTTGAATTTTTGAGTACTCATGGTTGAGAGCGTCACAATCAGTCGGGACGAGGACGGTGAGGATGGAGGCACGCGAAATGAACATCGCCTTCCGACTGCTTTTTTCATCTATGGCGGTCGTTTGGTTACCGATTCAGGAAGGAAACGGTTGACTCTGGTAGGGCGAGTGAGCTCATTCTAGGCCTATTGATACCGCCCCGGCTTATTGCGGCGATATCAACGTATTCTTGTGGAGTATACCAAGGCTGTAAACCGAATTTCATATAGTAGTAAGGACTATGGCACAGTGAGTGGCGAGTTGTCACAATGTGGGAATGAGCTCCACTTTGGAGGCGAGCGACGTTGAGTAGTGTCAGACGCTTCTCTCGCACTGTTGCGAGCAAGACTGCGTACATCTACTAAAGTACCTCCCGAAGCACCGAGACTTTCCAGTTAGCGCCAACCGTGGGCATGAACCTCTTATTTCGGTCTCGGCTAGACTGGAGAGTTCTAGCCGCACAGCAACTACTAAGCATCTTGGGTGGTCACAAAAAAGCCTAACTTTCTCCAGGGATGATCAGCTTGAGAAAGCCGTGCCACGTGAGAAAGATGAGGCCTTGTGCGGTAAGTCAAAAGATGCGTGCGTCTGGAGGTATGTCGCCCGATGCATGCCGTTGCCTCATCAACGGCGCCTCGTACATGTAGTCTAATGCTTCCGATGTTGCTAAGTTCATGTCCAACTGTGCAGTGAAACCCTCGCAGTGACAACGGGATGCATCTCCGTGATGGTTCCATGTTTTTATTCAGACGCGGTGTGTAGTGAAGTCCGCTTACCACAGTGCAGCCACTTGCGAAGCTGCTCACTTTTTGGACCGAAGCTTGCATCGCGGACATCCAAATGCAGGCGACAGGCGTTCCCGTGACAAGCCAGCCTAAGTGATGTTGCAGAAATATGGAAGAAAATTCGCCAAGCGAACCGCCTATGAAGAGAAAGTGCCAAAGGGGACGTTGTAAACGCATTATTCAGGCCCCTTTCAGACTACTGTAGAGGTAAAAGACCGAGGAGCTGGGAGAGCATTCTCCACCGCTGATTCCCAGTAATGAACCTTATGACTCTACGAGAGATACTGAATGCGTATACTTGCCCAGGAGCATTACTTTTTGGCTGGGGCCTGGCTTGGAGGCGGAAGTCAGTGGAAAAAGGGATGTACCACGAAGCAGGGCGGAGGTGGTGTAGTGACAAGTGGCGCGCTTACACTCGCGCGGCGCCGGGTTCGAATCCCGGGTCGACACCCGCCCAGGCCAACCAAGCCTTCTACCCTCCGGGGACGGTAAATTGGTACCAGATTCGTCTGGGAGGATAAAACACTGACTTGTACATCGGCTGGCCACCGCAAGTCATTGTATAGGCCACATCGCATTCAATAACCCACTACGATTCTGAATGGAAGTAGAATGCGTGCCGCATCCCACAAAGGGATTGATCAACGGCGAAGACTTTATCCTTCATCCTTTTACCACGAAAGCAACTTTCCGCCCTAATTCCTTTACCGTATAACTTTCCACGAAACTGGCACGGGGTTGTCCTTTCTGGACCGCATTCCCGCATGACGTTTGCATTTTCATAGGCCATCACAGACCGCTCCTTTAATTGTACCACATGAATTCCGAGTAATTGCTACGGCGTCCGCGGGAGCCGACGCGCACTCGCAAAGCCCGGCGAGTGTGAAAAGTATGCGAGGGTCCCAATGCAAGGACAGCATCGGGGAACAAATAGGCTACATCAAAATCCATGCAACTTGTGGAAAGCTCGTGTTGTCACGCTGGTCGTTGGTAGACGACTGTTTGCTCGTAGGTGGACCAGAACGGTAAGCGTAAGAAAGATCTACTTCTGTGGTTTCCGTGCACGATACTAGATAGGCGTGGCAAGCTGGAAGCAGATCTAGGCGAGGCCCGCCGTTTGTAACACTCGATGACGGGGTCCGCGGAGGAAGCACTCATACAATATAATGCGACCAATCGAACAACAGTTCTATAGACCTTTGACTTAAGGCGCTCTGGCATCATCTTGTCGCAGAGGATTTGTAGGTCTTTCTGTAGATCTCGTGAGATGGCGTCCATGAAGCTTAGTGTACCACAACGGTGATGAGAACTCCATTGAGATCCCGCAGGTGATTGCTCTTAGCTTCCTGGGCTCGAGTAAAGGATAGGCACTCGTATAATCTTCTTCGGGCAAGCGGCGCTCCCACAAAGCGTTTCATATAAGGTCACGAGGGACGCGACTAAATGCCTTCTCCAGGTCCGAAAAGCTACATGCAGAGGCTTGTGCCCTCTCTCCTGTCCTGTTTCTCCGGAAGGCGAACGAATTGTATGGCGTCGATGGTGCTACAGCTCGTAAGGAAGCCACACTGCCTGGTGGAAAGCAGTGCGATATCACGATCACCGGCGTCAAGAATTCTTGCAAAGGTTTCCATGGTGTCGAGAATAAACGAACTGAACGATACTTCGAACACTCTGCCGGGCTGCCCTTTTTCTTCCAAATCGGGATCGTTGTGCTCTGCAGCCAACCTTTGGGC